GTGACTTTAATAACATAAAAATTGGATATATAAAATGAATTAAAAATGGCGGATCTAAAATGGTGGATTTTTTCAAAAAATTGTTCGGATTTCTTTGAAACTTGTTACTTGGGGGTTTTTGGGGTCGTTGATTACAAATATCATGTTAATTTATAAAAATCTAAAATGGCGGATCCAACATAGCGGCCAAAATAATTTGAAATTAATGAAATCGATTAAAACTTGTTACTCGGTAGGGGTTTTCGAGGTCGCTAAAGATGAATCTGATGTTAGATTTAAAAAATTTAAAATGGCGTATCCAATACGGCTTACGATGGAATTGTTTTCAGATTTTTTTGGTTCTAGTTAAATTAGCGCCTCCAGGAAACACCTAATTAACAACAACCAAAAAAATCTGATAACAATTTCATCGTAAACCGTATTGGATACGCCATTTTGAATTTTTTAAATCTAACATCAGATTCGTTTTCAGCGACCTCGAAAACCTCCACCGAGTAACAAGTTTCAATCAATTTCATTCATTTCAAAATTTTTTTGCCACCATTTTGAATTTTTATAAATTAACATCATATTTGTAATCAACGACCCCAAACACCCCCAAGTAACAAGTTTCAAAGAAATCCGAGCAATTTTTTGAAAAAATGTGTTTCGGGACCTGGGTGTCACTTTTTGTTCTTCTTTCTTATTTAATATACATATGGACAATGTAATTAGTAAGGCTTTCAAAGAACTGGGTTTCATTATGCGTAATGCTGATAAATTCAATAACTTGCAAGCATTAAAAGTATTGTACTTTTCGTTTGTGTGCTCTACTATTGAATATCTCTCTGTAATATGTAAACCGCATTATGAAACGGATTTGATTATATTTGAGAGGGTACAAAATACTTTTATACGATTTGCCGCTAGACAGTATTTAGAGAGGGTAATTTTGTATTTGACAGTGTTGACTTTTTTCTAACTCACTTTCTAGTTTAAGTAAGAATTACGCACTCTTTTATTTGTTAATATTACTTATGATAACAATAACTCAGCCTGATTTTTCTTTTAATTCATTTTTATTGTATATTTAAATTTTATTTTTATTAGTTAGTAAGTTTGAGTGCTTTGTACCTTGTACGAAAGAGTTTTGTTAGCCCGTTTAATTAATAAATAAATTTAAAATATATTCAATGATTTTACAATAAAAACTATTAATACTTACTATATTTTAAAAAATTATCGCCTCAAACTTGAACAATTCACCTAACCTCGAAATGTGTTGACACTTATTTTAATTTTAATGTTAAAACAATTGAATAACGATTTTCGAAGGTACACAAACGTTCTTCTTTACCTACTGATAACAATTGTAGGTATTAGATACCTGTTTTTTTTAAATTGTTAAAAAATATTTTTAAATCTATGGGACGCTTAAAACTCACCCGTACTTAGAGGGTTAATAGAGTTTAAGGCAATGGTCGGATTGAAAAATATTCTATAGACGGATGTTTGGAAAATTAAGGTCCATTTACTGGAACCGGAGATATTTACATTAAGTAAAACGATTTTTTTATAGTGAAAAATATGAAAAAACAAGGATATCTTGAAAACTGTTCTATTTTCTTAATTTTGGACTTCATTTTCGGGTTCAGCGGGTCATTTTACATGAGAAATAAGAGTTAAATGTCGTGGATCAAAATCTCTGTAAACTAGTGTTATTATTACTTAAAAAACACAAAGTAAATTGTAATTCATAAAAAAATTATTGGACGTCAGGTTAAGGAGAAAAAAAATACTGAAAATAATCAAACATACATATTTTGGGGTCGTTACCTCAATTTTTTCAAACTTTTTTTTGTCTTGCGATGCGGGTATTACAGTGTACAATTTAATGTTTACTTTTGGCCTATATAGAAGTCTCGAGCACGTCAGGTTAAGGAGAAAAAAAATTTCTATTATTCAATATAATGAAACACGTGCTAACTATATCATCAGATAAGATTGTAAACATGCAGTAAAATTTATGAATGAAAATACGTTAGTATTTATCTTTTTTTTTTGCTTTTCCAAATTCTATATTATACTTATATATATTTATACTCTTCTCTTTTATTTTTAAATTATTTGTCGCTTTTCAAACTAAATTAGAGGAATCTTTCCAATAATTATTTAGTTTTTTTTAGCTTTTGTTATTAACTTTTCAAAATTCTTTTCTTGTTTAAACAATTGATTGTTTATCGTGTCAAAAAATTTGATGCTAAAGAAAATAATGATAATAAATAAAAGAATTAGTTATTTTTATTTAAGTAATGAAAATAATCAATCTGACAATATAGCTTTCTTTGTTTATAAAAACGATTGAGAGTCCTTCCTTATTATCTCTCAGTTCTGAATAGAATAAAATTTACTTTTAGTTTAATTTAGTAATTATAAATAAATAAAATAAATAAAAACACACCTTCACTTTGTGGTTATTTCGCTTGTCTATTGAATCGAAATATAGGTTTGTGGTTTATGAAAATCAGTTTAAAACTGTTCAGATTAAAGAGACAGAAACGTGCATTTACTTGGCTTATATAGTTGCGTCCCTACCCTTAATTTTCTGGGGTAAGTAAAATTTAGAATGTGCGAGTGTGTGAGTAAGGAATTTTAAATTTATTGAGCGAAAATCCGCGAGTTTTCCTCACCACTTTACGCAGGGCGCTTCTCCCATGTATTTCTTACCGCCAATTTCTCCCTCTATTTGGATTTTTCGCGGCGTCTATTTTCGAATAGCCAATTACTTTTAAATTATTTTCTAAGGACAGATATATTTTTCTCTCTCTAATTCCGTTTCTAACGCTCGCCAAGAACAATGCCATTGTCTACCTGTCAATCATTTTCCTCTAACTGATTTTCAGTTTCTAAAATCTTTAATTTCTCAAAAAATAATAATTTTCAAATTATTTAACTTTTACAATTAATTTTTATATAATTTTTACTTTAATATAACATATAATTTTATTTAATTATTATTAATTTCAGCAATTTTTAAAATAATTTTTATTATTTTATTTTCTAAATATTTTAAAGAAAAAATATAAAATAAATTTATTCTTTAAATAATAATCTATAAAAATTCTTTATTTATAAAAAAAAATCTTTAAATTTAAATTAAATTAATAATTCTCTTAATTCGTATTTATATCTACCTTCTCTTTCTATTATTTTTTCTGTTTATATTTTCATTGTGTTATCTATAGATATCTTCTCTCTCTTTCTATTATTTTTAGAAATTCAATTTATCTAGTTTTAATTTCATTTCTTTATGTAATTTTATTTTTAATATTTATTAATTTATAATTTTTCGATACTTTATGATTATTTTATAATAAAATTTTTGACTATTGAAATACCATTTCAACCCCTCTTTTCCTAAAATCCTGACGTGATACGCAATTTTGAAACCCGGGATCGTGTTCAGCACACAAAAATACATGGGTCAATCAATTATATTTCGACTGAAGTCGTCGCTGACTAATTTTTAAAAATTATAATACTTTGCAGGAATGATTTTGAAGTTATCAAGATCACGAAATGAAAAGAATTTTATTAAAATTTTAATTATTTATTGCAAAATATGAATTTAAAGTTTATGAGGTGCTGAAAACTGTCAATTTTTTAGCCATTAGAAAATATGCAAAAATACGTAGAATTTACCATAAAAATAAAAAAAAATTGTTGTAATTTACTAAGAATGAATAAATTTATCATTATCAATTGATATAATTATTTAAATATGTGAAATAATATATAAAATATGATTTTCAAGTTCGCCTGTCAAATAACCTAAATTTGCAAATTTCATCTATTAAATGTGAGAAAGAGAAGTCATTAAATTGAAAAAAACCTTACCAAATATAAAGTACCTGTGACTAACTTTTAGTTTTTCTTAGCACTTTTTTCCTTTTTTCTTTATAAATGTGAAATAAAAAGCAATAAAAATTGGCACTTTGCTTATTTTCACTATTTTCAAATGTAAATAACTTTCTTGGAGAAAACTGAAAAATTACAAAACTTGGGCAATATCTAATTGATCACTAACTACACACACTGGAAAAAAATTCGCTTTGGTCCCGAAGATACTTTTTGAGATAATTATGTTTAAATTTTTCACAATTTTTATCAGGTTAATGCATGTGATTTTTATAAAATTGAAGTTAGTTCAAAATGTTTAACCAATAAAACCTAACTTCGTCCTTAAAAAACTACATGTATTAACCTGATAAAAATTGTGAAAAGTTTAAACTTAATTATCTCAAAAATTATCTTTGGGACCAAAGCGAATTTTTTTCCAGTGTGTGTATTTAGTGATCAATTAGATATTGCCCAAGTTTTGTAATTTTTCAGTTTTCTCTAAGAAAGTTATTTACATTTGAAAATAGTGAAAATAAGCAAAGTGCCAATTTTTATTGCTTTTTATTTCACATTTATAAAGAAAAAAGGAAAAAAGTGCTAAGAAAAACTAAAAGTTAGTCACAGGTACTTTATATTTGGTAAGGTTTTTTTCAATTTAATGACTTCTCTTTCTCACATTTAATAGATGAAATTTGCAAATTTAGGTTATTTGACAGGCGAACTTGAAAATCATATTTTATATATTATTTCACATATTTAAATAATTATATCAATTGATAATGATAAATTTATTCATTCTTAGTAAATTACAACAATTTTTTTTTATTTTTATGGTAAATTCTGTTTTTTTTGCATATTTTCTAATGGCTAAAAATTGACAGTTTTCAGCACCTCATAAACTTTAAATTCATATTTTGCAATAAATAATTAAAATTTTAATAAAATTCTTTTCATTTCGTGATCTTGATAACTTCAAAATCATTCCTGCAAAGTATTATAATTTTTAAAAATTAGTCAGCGACGACTTCAGTCGAAATATAATGGATTGACCCACATTGGAAACTAGTCCAACATCTAAAAAAAAGTCTTATTTTGTAGACCTGTGTTCTTAAATTACATACCTGTATTTGACTGATTAATTCTTCTTGTCTGTTTGCACTTTCTCGAACTTGTTTCTGCAAAGGGCCATAAACTTTGCCTATGCATTCTACAGATAAGTTGGGTTCATCAATAACACCATCCTTAACTAAGGCTGACAAAAATACTGATTTCATATCTGATGTTGCAGATTTCAATTCACTTTCTATAACATCTCGTTCTGCTTTCAATGTTTCAACCTGAAATGAAAGATAAGGTGAATATTATATAAAGATGTGCTATGTTGGGATGTTAATGTTTAAATTTTTTATAATCTAGCTTTAAGTTTAAATTTGAGATTAGTGGTAACATCGAATCGCTATCATACTGAACAACATGAAAAAATTTTGAATCCAATCGGATGAATAGTTTATAAATTCTTTCATTTCTTAATTAAAAACATGTTGTTTTTCAAGCTACACGAAAAAAAAAATTCTTGTAGCGAAAACACTACAAATTTCAGAAAAGACAATTCTAAAGATTGTCATGTAGACTGTAAGAAAATTGTGTTTCAAACACACAAATTGGGAACAGCACAACCTGATTTGCGTTAGTACAGAAACATAGCGCATGCGCAACGAATTGTATTGTGACACACTCTATGAAATTTGTTTGTTTCCTAAACCTCAGCGTTTTGTAAATACTCTAACCAGGTTTTATAGATGGCGCTAGAGATCCTGTTGATAACACTAGAAATTTTTTCCGTGTAATTTCTACAGAACGATATGGAGCGAAATCAATTTTTTTTCTTTCATTTTACTCTTGAAGAGTTATACTATCATGTACATAAAAAAATAATCGAATTTCATTGTTTAATTGGAAAATTATCAATAAAGAAAAAAGGGTACTTTTTTTAGTTATAAACAATTGCAATTACTCGGCCATTTTTTACTCTGTCGAGTTGTAATAAACGCCATTGAATTTCTTTTTTCTTTACAAAATTTTCAAAAAAAAAGAAAAACGTTGTAGCTTAAAGGGGGGAAGGGAGATAATTTTCTTTTTCAAAAAATCCCTGACACTATACTTATTAATATTTTTTAGTCAAATTTAAAATACTTAAAGGTTAATTTATGTACTATAAGATAAAAAATTGTAAACATTGTAGGAAATTTTTTTTCTTATATATAAAGAGGGACAAAGTGAGTTCATCATTTTTCCTTGCTCTCGACGTCGGAGTGGGGGAACTCGGAAGCGCGGATAGTATTATGTCAATAAAGTTAGCAGAGCAAACTCAGCAGACACCAACCAGACTATAAGGACATTTTATGGCTTTTTAAAGGCTATTTAAGTGCCCTGTTCACAATTTAAATACTCCCATAGGGTTCGAGAATACACATGTTCTGCTAAACCTAAAAAAAGTTAGCAGACCATCATATCTAAAATATATAAAAAACAATAAATTCACTGTTTTGAATAAAGATTATTTAAAGGCTCACCAAAATAATATAACCAACTACTTTAAGCCCTTAATATGGGTTGAACGAGCAGCCCTTTGCATCAGAACACTATCAAATCATTTAAAAACTCAAAAATTCTGATTAATAAATCAAATTAATTAAAAGCTATTTAAAGGCTCACAGAACAAAGTCAAAAAAACTAAATTGAGCCCTTATTAAGGGCTAAACTACCAACTCTTCCCAGCAGAACACTAACTTATCAATTAAATCCAAAAAAATCTCAGTTTCATAGCAGAATAATTAAAGGTTAATTAAAGGCTACTAGAACAAAGTCCAAAAAACTACCCTGAGCCCTTATTAAGGGCTAAAATACCAACTTTTCACAGCAAAACACTAACTTATCAATTAAAATCCAAAAAATTCTCAGTTTCATAGCAGAATAATTGAAGGCCAATCAAAGGCTTCCAGAATAAAGTCCAACTAACCACCTTGAGCCCTTATTAAGGACTAAACTTGCGACAATCTACTCTCAGGCCTTAGTAAGGGTTAAATGATTTGCCCTTCCTAGCAGATCACTAAAATATCTATTTAAATCTTAATAATTCTAATAGTTATGGCAAAATAATTAAAGGCTCTGTGAAAAATCTAACCAACTACTTTCCTGGGTAGGATTAAGAACCAAAAAAAATTCTTAAGTTTTTTTGGTAACAAAGAACCCCGCACCATTGACATGGGAATTGGGTGTCTGGTTAAATTTTCTGCAACTTTGTAATTTTGTAGTTTTTGACCTCCTGAAAAAAAATGTAAATCGACGCCTCCCGTTGATAAAATGCTTATTTAAAGTCAAATGTAATATAATCCTAACTCAAAATAAAATGCAATATGAAGTTGACTAAAAATTTCTGAAATAAAATTCTTTTTCAATTTTCAATGCAAGAAAATGCTTATTCACAATTGCCTGTTAAAAAAGACAAGTGAAGTCAGGATCGAATAAAAATTTTTATAACATTTCTTGTCATATTGAAAACTGACAGTTTAATTTTATTTTGCATATGAAATGTTTCTAAAATACAAATTAATAAAATAAATAATAAATAAATTTAATTAATCATGGATTCTAGAGAATCAACTTCAAGCGGTAAGTATTTAAAATAAGAATAATACAAATATATTGATTTTGATAACCACGAATTTTTATTCTTTTTGTAAACCGAATTTATGATTATATAGGAAAAAAATGTTTAAAAAATTTTTTTGTAATGTGAATAAAGATAAAATTCAATTCCTAATTTTCAGAAATTAAAAAATGGTTTTCATTCTGTTATTTAAATTGAATAAGTTTAATTTAATAGAAAAATATATTAAAATCAAAACGTTTTAATAATATTATAACAATTAACACAACAGAGTTAAAAATTTTAATAGAGAACAATTTAAAATGTGAGTTTTATATGTAAAATTTATCTTTACAGAAGTATTACAAAAAACAAAAAATTTACTTGATATTGAAATGGAAACCATCATTACCATTGGCAACAATGCTTTTTGTGAACCATTTTCAAATATTTCGTCCAGTGACACTCATTCATCATTTTTCAATTTTGATATTCCACAAAATGAATCAAATCTTATAAGCATTATTAATGAAAAAATTACCTATACTTAATTAATGTTTTATTTATATGTTCTTTTTTTAAATTTCAATGTTTGTTTATAATAAAATTATTTTAAAAATATGCTACTTTAAATAAATTCCAAAAATATTGACAGATATTTTAGTGAACTGCTAGCAAGGCCAACTCATTTACCCCTTACTAAGGCCTGAGAATAGTTTGTCGCAAGTTTAGTCCTTAATAAGGGCTCAAGGTGGTTAGTTGGACTTTATTCTGGGAGCCATTAATTATTCTGCCGTGATAATTAGGATTTTTTATAATTGAAATGATAAGTTAGTGTTCTGCTGGGAAGAGTCGATAGTATAGCCCTTAATAAGGGCTCAAGGTTGTTAGTTGGACTTTATTCTAGGAGCCTTGAATTGGCCTTTAATAATTCTGCTGTGATAATTAGGTTTTTTTGAAATTGAAATCATAAGTTAGTGTTCTGCTGGGAAGAGTCTGTAGTTTAGCCCTTAATAAGCCTTAATAAGCTCAAGGTGGTTAGTTGGACTTTATTATAAGAGCCTTTAATTAGCCTTTTTAAGTATTCTGCTGTGATAATAAGAATTTTTTGGAATTAAATTGATAAGTTAGTGTTTTGCTGGGAAGAGTTGGTAGTTTAGCCCTTAATAAAGGCTCCGAGTAGTTTTTTGGACTTTGTTCTGGGAGCCTTTAATTAATTTGATTTAGTAATCAGAATTTTTGAGTTTTTAAATGACTTGATAGTGTTCTGATGCAAAGGGCTGCTCGTTCAACCCTTATTAAGGGCTTAAAGTAGTTGGTTATATTATTTTGGTGAGCCTTTAAATAGCCTTTAAATAATCTTTATTCAAAACAGTGAATTTATTGTTTTTTTATATATTTTAGATATGATGGTCTGCTAGCTTTTTTTAGGTTTAGCAGAACATGTGTTTTCTCGAACCCTATGGGAGCATTTAAATTGTGAATAGGGCACTTAAATTTTTGAGTAGATTGTAGAAATAATTTAAAAAAACATGATAAGTGGAAAAAGTGGAATTTATCCTTAAGTTTATTTCTTCAGTCGTTATAACCCTAAAATAAAAAAATCGGACAAGTGCGAGTTCCACTCTCAATGAAATCGAGGGTTCCGTACTCGAAGTGAACTTATTTGGTATAAAAACAAATGTTTAAAAATATGTGTTGTATGTCAAATAATTTAAGTGATACGAAGAGGAACAATTTTCTTAAATTTCACAAAAATGTTCCTCTTCGTATCACTTAAATTATTTGACATATAACAAATATTTTTTAAACATTTGTTTTTATACCAAATAAGTTCGCTTCGAGTACGGAACCCTCGATTTCAGTGCGAGTGTAACTTGCACTTGTCCGATTTTTTATAATTCTAAACAATGAAGTGTATGATTTTTTAAAAATTTTCATTTTTTTAAAAAATAAAAATTCTAAAATGGCCAAAAATAATTCTTTTTTAAATTCTAATAATTTAGAACAACTTTAAATCCTAAATAATGCCAAAAAAAATTGACGCAGGTAAATTAACATCGTAAATGTTGAAAGGTAAAAATTTTACTGGTCCCTCCCCTTAAAAATCTTTGAGTTCGTCGGTTGGATGCAGAAACGTGCCACTTCAGAGCAGTCTTGAAAAACAAGTCATTTCATAAAATATTTGAGAAACCTGCCATTCCAGCTGAGATTTGGAAAACATGCCAATTCAGAATTGATGTTCGTTTTTTTTTCTTTAGGTTGACACTACTGAAAGGTTATAAACTTGTACGAAAATGACTTTTCATGTTGTATTTTACATGTTTGTTATTATTGTTTGAAAAAAGAGTATTTTAATGAATTTATTAAATAAATAAATAAATTTAATAAAATTAAAAAATGTCCTAAGAAGTGTTTACAAAATAATAAATAATCTAATTAAATAATCCGTAATTCAAAATGTTTAAAAATATTATATTTTCAAAAAAAAGTAATAACTAATAAAATTAATAAAGAATAATTATAATAGAAATAAGTTAATTAATTATAATACAATTAAAATAAATAAAACAAAGAAATAAATAAAATAATTATTAAAAATAGTAAAGAAAAAATCTTTTGTAAAAATTTATAACCATTCAATACTGCCAACCTTCCGGAAAAAAAACGAACGTCAATTCTGAATTGGCATGTTTTCCAAATCTCAGCTGGAATAGCAGGTGTCTCAAATGTTTTTTGCAATGACTCGTTTTTCAAGACTACTCTGAAGTGGCACGTTTCTGCATCTAACCGACTGTTGATAACTACTTTCATGTCAAGTTTATCTAGTTAGTGCAAATGTGACCTGAACAGTGAAAAGGCAGCTTACGTGCAAAAAAATCGATTTTTTATTGATTGGTGATTCTGATAGAGAAAACTTTTTTCTAGCAGAATCACCAATCAATAAAAAATTAATTTTTTTTATTAATTTTCACTGTCCAGGTCACAAATAAATAATTTTTATTATTAAATTTATTAATTTAACTAGCAACTTTGTCGTCCGCAAGCGGCCGACTACGTTGCTTGTGGGCATTAACCATATCTTTATTCACTTCTTTTTTTCAAAAAATTTAATATTAGAAATTTAAAAAAAATTTCTTCATATTAAATCTACAACCCAAGGAGCACGGAATATTGCTTGTCCCGCTTCATGGGGACATTCCACGGTGATATTCTTGTGAAATTCGCGTGATATTTGTACGGTACTGAGGGAATATTCCCGTGAAATTCACGCAATATTGAGAAAATATTCCTGGGATATTAAGGGAATATCCCTGTGATATTGAGAGAATATTCCTGTAATTTAGAAAATTCTAAAATGTTGTTTGTTTTGAATATTTAATTAAACAAATAAATAAATGAAAAAAAACGAAATTTTGTGTTGGAATTTTATAAATTATCTTATCAATATCACTGGCATATTCCCTCAATATCAGAGGAATAATTCACTCAATATCACAAAAATTTCACGGGAATATTCCCTCAATATCATAAAAATCACACGTGAATATCACCGAGGAATGTCCCCGTGAAGACATTATGATATCGCCTAAATGTCACAGGAATATTACCACTTGATATCAACGTTACATTCAACCAATATTCCGTGCTACTTGGGCGCTTAAGGGTACGGTCACACGACTTTTGGAAAAACCATTCTTGTCTTTCTCTGTCCTATTACAGACGCATAAGTTTGTCTCACTCTGCATTTTCCATCTTTGGGAAATGTAAGAAAATGCAGAGTGAGACAATCTTATGCCTCTGTCTTAGGAGAGAGAAAGACAAGAATGGTTTTTCCAAAAGTCGTATGACCGTACCTTAACTTTACTTTTCCCTTATGACAGCAACTACTAATTAATCTATGTGACGGTCTCTCACACAGAAAATGTAACGCATAACAAAACTTACATTCTACATTCATCAAACCTAAATAATTCTGTGGAACCTTACTTTCATTGAAAACTTTAAAAGACATTATTGCAACTCCTACACTTTTTTATTTCGATTATCGTTTTCACATGTCAAATTCTTTTCTTGACGCACTTTCTTTTCATCTTCCGTTTCCGTAGAAAATTTGTTCTTACATGACAAATTATTTTCTTGACGCACTTTCTGTTCATCTTGAGTTTCCATTGATATTTTTCTTTTCCTACATGCCAAATTTTTATCCTTGTGTATTTTCTTTTCATCTTTATTATCTATAGATAATTTCTTTCTTTGCATGTCAAATTTTTTTTGCGCTCTTTCTTTTGTATTTCTGTTTCATTACGATTACGTTTTCTCAATCTACCATTCTCTTGTCTAATTATTTTCTGTTCATATGTAACTTCGCGCGTTGCCTTCCCTTTTCTTTAATTGCTAGAATTATCTTTTTATCAATTTCTTCACTCAGAAAATTCTTCATTTCTGAATATTCAAGTGGTGAAATTTTGTTCATCTTATTATTAGTTGTACCAATTATTTTCTCTTCACTAGTGTCATTTAGAGAATGTTTAATTTCTAAATATTGTGTTAATAGAACTCTGTTAATATTATTGCTGGGAAAAGTATTACAACAGAACAAGGGTTTAAAATATTATTTTTTAGTTCCTGAGCTCGATTTATGAAAAGACGGTTCCAATCATTCTTTATTATCGAATTCCTATTGTGAGACGTTCTTATTGACGGAAAATGATTTAAGCAATTATTAACAAACATTGACTTTAAATGATTTCTCATTCTGTTATTATCAGTTTCATAATTTACGCTGTTTGACATTACGTTAAAAAATATAGATGTTGCAAATGCTATTGCATATACTCCACACTCAACACTCCCAAAAGGTTATTGATCAACAACTACAAAAACTACTGTTGGTTTAAAAGGGAACAATCTAATTAAATATTTCATTTGATGCACATTTAAACACCCCTCATTAAGGCTATAAAAAGTATAAAGCCTTACTCAATCGTAATAGACACAAATCCAATGACCATAATTGTTATTACCGCTAAAAAGTATTTGAAATATGTTTTTCACCTTCTCTAATTGGGACAATAAAATCAAGCATTTGTACATACAAAGTACTTTGCATATTGAAAAAAGAATTGGAATCTTTTCTTAATAAATCTTTAAATTTGTACATATGCATGTCATTTAACAATTTATTTCTATTTTTAACAATTTTTAAATCTTCATCACTTAAAATAACATACTCTTTTATGATGGCCATAGTATACTTCGTTTAATTTTATTTTTGATTCATGAAAATCTAAATATCTTTAATCCTTTCGCTCACTCTCTCCAATATAACAAATTTTGACTTTTATTAAATATAACCAATTTTGCCTTTTATCCAATACAACTACCAATATCCAATAGAATGAGAGAACTATGAATGAGTAACTACTGATCAGCCAATAAGTACAAAAGGACACTCTTATATGATTAATCAGTAGTTCATTACAGATACCATATATACATATATACACTTGTATTAAAACCCCGGATTAATTACCACAAAAAAACAACCCTTGGACAATAGAACCTTTGTTAAATAATCAATGAGAATTAACTCTGAGGACCCAGGTAATAATTTCTTTTCTCCCATTTATTACATGGAAAAATACCCTTGGACAATAGAACCTTTGTTGATAAGGATTAACTCTGAGAACCTAGGTAATAATTTTTAAATTTTTTTATTACAATTTTCAGGGACTCTAATACAGGTATGCACATATATATATAGATATATATTTATTTTTATTTTCAAAACAAAAAGGAAGAAGATTAAGATTTTAGACGAAGATATTCTTATGCCATTTTGAATTGTCTAGATAGAGAAACGCAATGTTAAACGAAGAAGTACTTATGTTATATTCCTTGGTGTAAGAAAGAAAGGTATGCGTTACCTTTTCAGTTTTAGACTTTCTTTATAGTTTTTTCACGTGATAAAGGGAGAAAGAAATTATTACCTGGGTCCTCAGAGTTATTAATTAATCCTCTTTAAAAGATTGCAGGTCAAGCGAACCCTCATTTGCAAAATAAAGATATATCTTTCTCTCTCCATAACTTGTTCTTTTCTCTGTCACCGAAAACCCAGCAGGGGTCCGGACGGAATGAATGAATGAATGAATACCAAGATTATTATAGTTAATTTGAAAGATCAATAAGTATAAAATAATTGTAAAGATCGAATTAAAATTTTTTTGACGAAAACTTGAATGAGAATTATATTACATTGAGATAGCATTTTATTATTCTTACCCTCACAGCACCAGATATCCTAGGATATTCCAAAAACATCCCTTGGATATCCTAGGGATACCCCTGGGATATCCAAAGTAGCCGCGGTTAGGATATACTAGGGATATCCCAGGGATATCTAAGGATGTCCCTAGGACGTCCCAGGGATATCCTAATCATTTCCCCGGATATTATTAGGATATCCTGTGTATATCATTAGAACGTTCTAAGGATATCCCAAGGATGTCCCTGGAATAATTAGGGATGTCCGGATAAACTTCCGGAAGTGCACCCGGATGTCCTTAGGACGTCCTAAGGATATCCACAGTAAAAATCGCTATCTCAAATAGTCAAAATTTGAATCATAATGATATCCTAGGGAGATCTTAGCGATATTTCTAGAATATTTTAACGATATACCAAGTTTAACCCAAGAATATCCCCACGATATCACTAGGATATCCCTAGAATATTCTCAGGATATCCCAGGATATCCCAAAAATATCCTACGTAACGGCGGTTTGGATGTTCTGGATATTCCATAGGATATCCTATGGACGATTTCAAGATATCCTACATTAGTTTAGGATATCCTCAGGATATCCTTTTGTTGTGAGGGTACCTAACATTAACTAACTTCATATGGCACTAAGCTCTGAGATAGCATTATATAATTTTGACAATTGAATAAGCATTTTATGAACGGGAGGCGTCAAAATTTCACATTTCTTTCAATAACTTTTAAAATTTTTTATTGATTTTTTTAAATCCTAATATATGTGTTTTAAATACATATTTGAAGAATTTAAAACAAAAATAATTAACAATATAAACCGTTTTATTAAAAAGATATAAAATTTTTAAAATTATTAATTTTATGGTTAATGCATTGTAGAACTAATGGAATCACTATGTACTACGATATGTGTACGTGTCTGTATAGAGGCTAATGATGTATTCAGTACAGTAACACAAAAGAATCTTAAGCAGCATACTATAATTACCATTTACTTTGTATGCTTTCTGTTAAATTTTATGTTGTGTCTTCTCAAGTATAATACCTTAATGTAATTTTCTCTTATATTTACTACACATTTAATCAATATTAAAAATTTAGCTTACTTGTTCCATCAAGTTTCGAAGTTCTCTAACGACATTGCTTTCTTGTATGGCAGTACCAGCAGGTATGTGTTCTTTTAAGTCATTTTCTTCTAAACTAAGTATTTCCATACTTTCATGATGATTGTCAAATTTAGTTCGAATAACCTATTTCAAATAAAGGAGAAATTAGCTAAAGAATAAAATTATACTTTTTAATAAATTACCTTGTCTGCTGAAACGGCATTGTTTATGATTCCACGATATTTTTGAGCATTCATAACAAATTGCTCAGTTAATCTGGTGCTTGGAATCCTAGTCCAACGTTCTTTAAATTGAGTCCTTAAATGCTCATCTGATTCTCGTTCTTCATTTAACATCCTTTCAGTCTTTAAAAACAAAAAAAATACTTTTGAATACGTGCTCTACTTTATTTATTTAAAAATAAAAAAAATAAATGGTAGCACGCATATTTACATACGTTCAAAAGCAAATGTGGTTACTGCAATATAATTTTTAGTTGATTTTACAGCATTGCTGACGAAACAAAAACTCTCGTCTTCCTCTTAATATCAGTGCTAGCTATAAAATTAACTAAATATCTCATGAAGTAAATTACATTTATACAACACATGCTTGAAAGAGTTGTTTTATTTATAGTGTGAAGCAGATTGTAAGTCGATGTTTACATGTTAGGTGACGACAGAGGGGAATAATGTCGACAGACAGGGAAATAACCCCACTTAACCTTCAAACTTCGAATTCCCATCGCTTTATACTAACAATAAAACAAGGTTTTACAAAATTTTAAAGAAAAATTCATAACTCTACACTGAAAAAAATTTGGGTGGGCAGACGTCTCAGCATTGAGACGGCTGCATTCCTTTACTCAAAGTATGACAGAGATTCCGTTCGGGGAGCAGTGCGCTACCGTGAAAGCATAAAATCCTTTAGTGTTTATTTTACTAGAATTTTAATTAATTTATTAAAGATAAACTCACAAATTTTGATTATTATAATATGAAGTCTATTTGCGATGCTTTGGCTGTGAGTAATTCTCAGAATTGGTCGGTGTCTTCCGAGAAACTTCGGGGAAATTCGAGAATTGAAAAGAGGCTTGTGCCGTTGAATGAGTGTGATGAATGGCATTGGGGGTCGTCGGGGTGCGCGGAGATTTTCGGGGAATTTTGATAATAAAAGTGGGATTCTTGGTCTCCTCTGTCATATCGCTCGTAGGACTTGAAAAGGGCCTAATTACGCCACGCACAAGTGTATCGCCGATAGCACATTGGTAACTTACATTCTTAAAATTTAGATTATTGAATTGTAAAGTGTTTAAATTTATTTATATTCAGAATTGTAGTGTTTTATTATTATTTAAAGGGTGTGGTGGTTTTTTATGCAATCGTGGGTGATCATATTAAAATTGGAGAAGAGGCGTGAAATATAAAAGACCAGGAATCATCGATAGTACGTAAGGACACTTGGTCCAGGAATTCAGGATAATTTGGTCCGCAATTCCAAGCAGATTTCGCAGAAATTAATCTTTTGATATTTGGGAAGTTCCCGTTGCACACTGACGAACCTCATTTGCCGATTCGCTGGGTCTTGGCTACAGACGCCGTTATCTGATGTCGCCATCCTTCTCACCAATACCATTGAGAGCGATAAGTTTTTAATTTGTTTATTGTTACTGTCTATTTGTTTTATTGAAATCCATTTCCTTCTATAATTGTTCGATATATTTTGGGAATTGCATAATTCCCTTTCATATTTTTACATCTAGCAGTTGTTCTTTTATTTTGTGTGTGTGTGTTTATGTGTATGCAAAATTTACGAGAGACGTCTCTAAATTTCTAGTTTGAACAGAATTGTCGATGACGTAAACAAAGTAATTTTATAATTATTTTCATTGACTTTAAATATATATTGATTGAATTATTATTTAATGTATTATTTTGCACCTTTTACATATCTTAATTAATTTGTATAGGCTTAACCTGGTATTATTTGGAATTAAATTTATATTTCTATTCTCGAATTAATTTCAATTTGAAGTCATTAACTGAATTTTCTATATAAATAAAAATATTGTTACAACCGTTACGGGTAAGCGCAGTACCTTATAGACAAGGTAAGGCTATGAAGGAACTTCAGCTCTACTGCTACGGGTAGTCTGAGCTCCCGAAACGGGATGTCAGTCGATCGAAAAAGGGGGCGTTAGCATTCTTCGATTTGATAGAGCACCTGTACTCGCTGGTACTGCTGCTCACCCAAATTTCTTTCAGTTCACAACCGTTTTGCAATAAATTAATGAAACTTATACTGCACTGAGAAAAAAATGCTGTTGAATCAATTACAACTGGATTTGATTCTTCGAATAGTGTTATACCGGGATGCCTAACGTATATATAATTGCTTTGAAAGTACCGATTTTAATGATTCGATAGTATTACTATAATTGAAACAAAAACATATTTCTTAAATTGACAGAAAACTATGTTAATATAAAGGTATTTTTATTGAATAATCAACAGAATATGCTTCTGAATCAAAGAAAGAAGTTTTTATATTTAAAAGTTTATGTTTTAGAATATAGCCGCAAGTCCCCCCTCCCTCCTCTCATTTCCCCTCCTCCTCCAAAATGGCCTAAATTTTAAGGTTATGTTCGTTTTAAGACTCTGAATATAGCCGCAAGTCCCCTCCCCTCCCCCGCCAGAAATGACCTAAATTTTGATGTTATGTTCGTTTCAAGGCTCTGAATATAGCCGCAAGTCCCCCCTCCTTCCTCTCATTTCCCCTCCTCCGACATAAATGACCTAAATTTTGAGGTTATGTTTGTTCTAAGACCCTAATAAAGCAGTAAGTCCTTCCCCCTTCCCTCATCTCTCTCTGTATTTCCCGCCAAAAATGACATAAATTTTAAGGTTATGTAAATTTCAAGACTTTCAATATAGCCGCAAGTGGAGGTGGAGTTCCCGCCAAAAATGACTTGAATTTAAAGGTTATGTTCGTTTCAAGACTTTTTAATAATTTATTGGTTTTTAGGCAATTTCATTGAAATTATTTTTAAAAATAATTTCTTAATGTCGATTTTAATTTATTTAATTATTTATTTATTATTAATTTAATTAATTTATTAATTAAAATTTAATAATTTTAATTTTAATAATATTTATTCAGATTTCAATGAATTTGTAATAATAATTCTTTGAAATAGGTGGTTCATTTGGAAAAATAAGATCAATGGAAAATTAAAAAAAAATGATTAAAACAGGGGGGTTGGCGCGCGAAGCGCGCAGGGGGACGTAGCCCCTCTAATATATATATATATATATTCCACTCGTTTACGTATTTTAAGAAAACCTTGGAGAGAAGGGTCAGATATGGCTAAAAGTATTCTGCGGACGAAGTCGGGTGGGGGCTTCAACCTACATTTAAAAAATCAGTAAAAATTGAACATGGGTCTACTTGTTTCTACTTGATTACTAAATTGAAAAATTTTTCCGGGTAGAAATTATAACTGTTTCAATTTGGAAAACCCATTTAAAGAAATGTCACGGATATTCAAGTTGATAACACAGCCCACAAAAAAAGTGTCGAGGTTCGGGAATCACAGTACCCTACCATCATGTATGGCCGCTGAACACGAATTTGAAAAATCTTAAGGAAGATGCGATTGTGGTGTTCCGAAGATGTTGTATTCAGTTAATTTTATTGGCAAATTCCTTGGATTTGTGATCTTTTTGACAAAGAGGAATAATACTATTTTATTGCCAAAGGAAGAATATGGTATTATTATTTTATTTTAAAGGAACCTACTAATTTTACACACAGGAAAATGTCCTGGAAATTGGTGTAGAGGTCAGTGCGATCACCTAACCGAACGTCAGCGGTTGACCACAACGTATTAAATTATGTTTCTATTGTGACGGGAAAATATTTCTTGACATTATTTTGAGAAATAAATGATCAAATATCAGTTAGGATAAGGGTTAGGGAAAAAAGGTCAATAACTCGCCCTGTGACCTTACATCGATCTAAGCGCCAATAGTTCAATATATTGGCGCATTGCCGAAAATCGTCGGGTCCGTTCCTCACTCTTTGTCCGTACGTCTTATTGTGTGTTGGAAATATATCTCCATGTTTGTATTATACCAAATTATATTGAATTGTTGGATCGATTGAATATTAAAATTGTATGGAACTTGAGGATCGACGTTATCCAAACTTATTATCGTATTGTTTGAACGAAATTTAGGAAAAGAGTCGATATTTGATCAGACAAGTAAGTGGTTAATGTATTTCATTTGATCTTTTATAATAAATTTTATATTCCTGGAAGTCGCCTAATATTTTATTTTTATATTTTGTATTTGGGTTCACCAACTTCCCTTCCTGTGATCTAAGTCTTTTGTTGATTTTAATTAATAAATTAACTGGCGTCTTTGTGCAACTAAAATTAATATTTTATTTTATATCGTCAAATAGAGCCCCAGCAACTCTGAACTCGGTCGCGCTGGGTGAGGAATAATTTTAACTTTGATTATTTATTCTTATTTTATTATATTTTCTCTTAATAACAAGTTATTCCGTCTCACTATTAAAAAATTAAATTAAATTTTAAACAGTTAATACATTACAAAATACATGCAAATTTTATGAAATATAAAGTGAATACCCTTGCAACAGTGTTTAGGTAGCGCTGGTCGTGTAGTGCTATTTTTGAATATATTTCTTCTCAAAAATGTAAAATATATGTCATTTAATTACATCCTAAATTATATTCATGATTTTTTTTTAAACTTTAAAATTTTGACATAATTTGTCTTTTTGAACGTCAAGAATTCCAAAAATGACCATAAAAAATTTCATGTATGTATGTATGGATGTATGATGTATATCTGTCACAAAGCTTTGTACGTCAATCACGCAAAAACGTCTTAACCGATTTGCGAGAAATTTGACACTGTAGTAGGTATTAACCCAAGTTAGGTTTATAAACTCACAGATTTGAAAAATTTTAATTAGAACAAAAGTTGCCACTTTTTCAAAAAAATCGAAAATTTTCCAATTATTTAATTTTTTTGAATTGCTGCAAACATTTTTGTAATTGTGTTTTTAATATTACTGAGTCACATTTTATCGTAATTTTACCTTAATTCTTGGTAAATCTAAAAATTTTAAAAATTAATTGTTCAGCTTAAAAAATTTGTGAAATTAATATTTTTGTAAAATGTTCTCTTATTTAAAAAAATGACTTCCTTAAGGTCTCTAACAAAGATTTTTATTTAGAATAATAATAAAAACTATACCTATTAAGGGGTTTCCTAAATTTTTTTGCCCTAAAATAGAAGGTTTATAAAAGATCGTGTACTCATAAGTTTTA